CTGCCCTGAGCGAACCTGCCCTGTACATATGTCCAACATTCCAAGCACCAAATTTCATATCCATTTTCTTTAGCTTAGGTCGTTATCCAAGGGATCCTTCCAGGTCTGAGGCTTTGTGCTTCATAACATACTTATTTTTTACAGTGAGTTGTTAGCCCCATGCCCAACCCCCAAGCTGGAGGGCCACCTCTTGGCGGCTGTCCACGACTTCTTATTCAATATATTCACAGCTTCCCTCCAAAACTGGAAGGTGTCTCCTCCATCTGCAACCTGAGGACGCGCCATGCCGTGGTGAAAAGGGACCCACCTAACATGGGATTTTGCCATGGTAGTATAAAATCTAAACAGCAGGTTCCTGTACTCCTTGCATGAAATGCTGATGTAAGTGATAAAGCACCTCCTTTTGTGACTGAAAAATATTGAAATCCATGTTGCTTGAAGAATGTTGGGGAGACTTTGTACAAAATATGAAGGTAGTACAAATTCTTGGATGACTACCAAAATATAAATACACCACATTTCTCAGCACCATCAGAGTTGTATTTCTCCCACTCAACTGTACCAGCCAGCTGCAGCCTTTGGATGTTCGAATAATCCTTGCATTCAAGTGCCATTTCAGAAAGCAGTTGATTCAGAATACTGTAGCCATGGCAGATGGACGACTGCTACAACATCCTACACAGATGAAGCTGGTTGTGTTGTCTGCACTCCACTTCATAGCAGAAGCCTGGAGATTGGTAACACACACCATAATCAAGTGCTGCTTTGTTAAGTGTGGTTTCTCAAATGATCATGTCAGCAGTAATGATGACAGTGCAGTGAAACTCAGTGAAGATGAAGAGGATTATTGGTACAGTTTACAGTCTCTTGGCGTTCAGTTTGAGGACTACACAACATGTGACAGTGCTCTTGAGGTTTGTGGAATCTAGTGTTGACCAGGTGTTAGATCAACATCTGACTAGACCAGAAGAAGAACTAGAAGAGGAAGAGGAAGTTGCAGAATGTAAAGCAACCTTCTTGGGTGCACTGAAAGGACTGGAAGCAGCCAGAACAATATTACTGTAATGTGCATCAAAGTTGAAAATGAATTGTACCAACTGAATGCTCAAGGGAAAAGAAAAAAAAAAAACTCTTATTGAATGGTTAAGAACAGTGTAACTAGGTATGTACCATATTTGCTGGTCTATCCAGGTTAATGTTAGGACAGTACCTTGAATCAGACTACAACCTCTTTCTTCCTCATCCTATCCACGTATTAAGTGCCCCCTCATCTTACTGATGCGACATAAAAAGAACAGTTGATAAAGCATATTAAATACAATAAGAAACATATCTGCATCTAAATATACACAATTAGTGTTCAAACATGTATTTTTTTAAATGATCTTCCAAAGTTACTGTATTAAGAAAAGCAAATTTTATTTAAGATTTGACGTTTTCACAGTGGTGACTATGAAGAAAGCTGCCTTCTGGGATGTGGAGCCATGCAGAAATTGTGTTTCGGAGGAACGTATCGCCTCCATCTTCAGGGCACAAGACTAAGAAATCCTCAAGCGAACCAGCTTGAGCAGGTGCAACAGACTGAGTCCAGTCAAGTAAACACAGCTGTATAAGAGGAGGGAAGTGAGTTGGGTTACATAGGGAAATGATAGAGAGGGGGAGGGGAAGGGTCTGGTGAAGTGGCCAGCAGGTAGCAGGCCAGAACAGGTACAGAGTATGTGTCATGGGGAAAGAAGGGAAGGTTAAATGGAGGGCATTAACCCTTTAGCTCCTATGTAGCTCCACTCACTTCCCTCCTTCTCTTATACAGCTGTGTTTACTCAACTGGACTCAGTCTGTCACACCTGCTCAAGCTGGTTTGCTCATGGATTTCTTCTTGTCTTCTACCTTGAACATGGAGGCGATACGTTCCTCCGAAACATCGGTTAACACAATTTATACACAGCGCCACATCCCACAAAACAGCTTTCTTCAAATTTGATTTACATTATATCATTCCCGTGTCACTGATTTTACCCTTACTTTAGTTCAGGTGGTCTCTTAAAATGTAAAATCGTGGTTTAACTGAATGCAGATTTTATTAATGACACTGTGATCAAACATATAGCAAAATGTCATACTAGGACAGACATGGGTTCTTGTAATAAATCATGACTTGTAGTCTTCTTCCATCTATAATACAACAATATCAGTACAGATTTAGATGACACTAGTCCACATTTAATTCAATAAAATGTTCGGTAAAAGGTTTAAATATGTCATTGATACATGTATATATATATATATAATACATTCAGGGTTTATGCACTACATGTTTCGGCCAAACAGGGCCACGTTCAGGCAACACATTTTTAAGGAATCCACTGTCCTGCGCACTTAGCCAAATAGTACTCTTAAAGTATGTTGTTATTATTACAAAGGCAAATCAAAAAGTCTGTACCCCTATGTTTTTCCAGCCAAAATATTACTGTGATTGGGTAACCGTGTTATACATTCGATGCAACAGGGTATGCTTGACCCGGCCCAGTTTTAACTCTCGGCTGCTCTGCGACACTGCACTGCTGTCAGTTGGCGAAGATGGCTGGTGTGCTCAACACGTCCACATCGTATGAGCCACGAAGTGTTATTCATTTTCTATGGAGCAAGGGACAAACACCCATCGAGATCCATAGGGAAATGCAGCCAACGTATGTGAACAAATGTCTCCCTTTGAGTAGTGTGCGGTGGTGGTGTTGTGAGTTCACCAATGGCCGGTAAGACCTTAATGACAATGAGTGGTCGGGGCGGCCTCGCACCTCGTTCACACTGGACATTGCCCGCGAGGATGCAATGGTGAAAGCGGACTGGTGTGTGCACGTGAAGGTCATTTCCAAGGGGCCTGGTGTTTCGTATGGCAGTGTTTACGGTATCGTTCACGATTCCTTGGGTTATCGCAAGGTTTCATGCCGGTGGGTGCCTAAGCTGTTGGATAATCTGAACAAGGCCAAAAGAATGATGTCACTGCAACATTTGCAGCATTACTCTGAGGAGGGTGAAAGGTTCCTGGATCTCACTGCTATTGGAGATGAAACGTGGGTATTTCATTTCACTCCAGAATCCAAGGAGCAGAGCATGGTGTGGAAACATCCAAGTTCGAGGTTGATGGTCACAGTCATCTGGAATCACCGAGGACCACTCCTGCTGGATTTCATGCCACGAGGTGCCACCATCAACGCAGACAGCTACTGTGGCACACTCGCATGTCTGCAAGCTGCTATCAGGAAAAAAGTGCCCGGGGATTCTCGTGGACGATGTGGTTCTCCTCCATGACAACGCCAGGCCTCATGTGGCAAACAGGACCGCCGCCCGACTGAAGTCATTTGGGTGGGAGATTATGGAGCATACACCGTATAGTCCAGACCTTGCCCCCAGTGATTACCACATGTTCAGTCCACTGAAGAAGCTCCTGGCAGGCCAGAGGTTCATTTCTGATGACGATGCGAAAACCTCTGTCCAGCGGTGGTTCCATACTCAACCGGCCCAATTCTACAACAGCAGCATCTCCAAACTAGTGGTGTGATGGGACAAATGAATGAACCTGGGTGTTTACTATGTGGAAAAATAGTCAAAAGTATTTAGAACACTGCCTGTATTTTGACTTCCCTGTATGTGTATTATTGCGGCTGAAAAAAAAAATATGGGCAAAGACTTTTCGATTTGCCCTCATATTAATTTCAGTGTTACAGGATGTTTGCTCTTCCTATCTATTGTATTGCAGCCGCTCTGTGCCCCATTGGGTGTGCTGCTCCTTTGTTTGTGTGTTTCTTGTGTTCATTTGTGTTGCCTGAGATGGCCTTGTGTGGCTGAAACTTGTGGCACATAAACACATAATGTATATATATTTTATGACATTTTAAACATTTTAATGAACATTGTAGTGAATTAAATGTGGATAAGTGTCATCTAAATCTGTAGTGATGTTGCATTATAGACGGAAGAAGACTCCAAGTGATACTTCGATGCAACAGGATGCTGAAATACAATATTATAAATCATGACACTACATGCTGCCAGGACATTGTCACTGAACCAGTTCTACAACATGCTGCAAACTGTTCTCAGTTTCCAAGCTCTCATTCATTTCTATGTTAATATTCTCTAAGCACTGCGACTGTGTCTCATGCTGTAACCTTTGTAGCAGTGTCAAGAGTTATGGTTAAGTGAATCTTTCCAACACTAAATATGCACAGCACCAGTGCTGTTTTTTATCATCTGTAATTAAATGTTTTATGAGAATGCAGTTATCCAATAAATATACACCTACACAGCATTGCAAAACATTCAAAGAAGAGGGAAGAACCTAAGAAATGTTTATCCATGGATGATACAAATAATGCCATCTTCAAAAAGTGAGTACAAGTTGTGTGACAAGTGGAGGAACAAACTTTCCTGATTACAGTTTGACTGAATAAACTTTTGCTACAAAAGCAGGATGAATGCATGAACAAAAGCAATGGTGCCAATGAAATAAACACCTATAGCAGAAAAACATCTGAGCAGTCATTAAACAAAAGCTTTCAGATTGTAAGTCAATCAGGAGTAGGGCTGCAAAAGAATAAGCGAAACAAAGAACACTGCAACGAATGTGGATAAAACTGAGAACTGCTGTAAGAAAGATATTTAGAATTCCAGCACAGGAAGGAACTTCAGCTCTACCAGCATTACTGCAGAAATTAGAAGAACAGTTGGGGAAACAAACAGAGGTGTCAAAGTTACAATGTGGACTCCTCAATGAACGGACTGGAGTATCGTTACATTAAACGGAAATGTCCAGGTGCCTTCTACTATACCATACATACAACCAAACAGCAAAGGTATACAGAATTCCAGCATCATACAACCCAAAACCTGGAAGAAGCTTACACTTCAAGTCCTTTTGTAATGACTGTCCTAGCAGAGTTATGCCAGGAAAAAAGGGACCATATGGCAGTAACAACTTGAGTTCAAAACAAGATAAACATAACAGGCTAGTATTAAACAATGTCAGAAATATATGCTAAGTTTAAGGAGCCCTGGTGTCCAAGCAATCCCACTTGCTTCTTCATGGCAGCCCCACTGTAGCAGCATGCTAACTTGCTGGCAACCAGCTTGACTGACTAAAGCCGGGTTTACACGGGTCAAGTCGTGGGTCAAGTATCTTGCCTCCGCACTTGCATGGTTTTGTTCTACTTGTACTTGACTTGACTTAACTACACGTGTTTTCACGTAGTTCAGTAGTTGTTCAAGTGGTTTTGAAACATGGCTACAAATCGTGTTGTGCTGCGAAATTGTTTGATAAATTTAATGAATCTTCTCATGGAAGAATTGGAACAAGTTTTGGAGGAACAGAGAAATCCTGGGAAGAGGATATGGTGTCGGGAGTGGCTTATGCGAAGAGGAAATCAAGGATCGTCCAACAACTTGCTAAGAGAGTTGAGGTTTGAAGATCCTCAAGAATACAGGATGATGCTTAGAATGACTCTGAGAAATT